TTTTTTTTTTTTTTTTTCTCTGGTACCGGGAACCGAACTCACGACCTTGCACTTGCCAGGCAGGTGCTTTTGCCGCTGAGCTAAATCCCCAGCCCAAGCCCAGCTTCTTGATTTACCTTTACAGAAGATTCACTTTTCCTTTTACAATCCATGCATAATAAAGGGTTTGGACACGGCAGGCCATGTGTCTGGAGTCTTCTTTCAGGATGCCAAAAAGTTCCCCATCCCCCATCACCTTGTAACAGGTTACCAGGGTCATCTATCCTGGCCTCTTTTTTTTTTTTAAAGCAGTGACAAATTTTTTTTTTCTTAAATGAAAAGTGAGGAAGAAACTGGCTCTGCAGCGCAAGCTTGAGCCAAGTCAAAAAGGGGGAAAGCAAGGTGAAAGAACACCCCAGAGAAAGCAGGGTGGGTTGTCGTGAAGAAAGCCACAATAGCAAGCTCTTCTTGGCATCTGTGTCCTTTTATGCTGTTGAAGTCTCAAGGAAACCCACGAGAACTACATCTGGGTCCTGAGAGGCGTGTTGGGATCCCACCCCTCAGGCTGATGTCAAGTGTAGGCCGTCCTGTTGAAAACGTGCTCGAGCTCTCACAAGAAGTCCATGTGCGCGGCTTTGGGAACGTTTCTGTGCATGTGTTCTGAGATTTTATAATTACCATGTCATGCCTACTTCCCCAGCTAGCTTTGGCATGCCCTACTCCTCTCAATTCCCCCTGAGAGACACAAATCCCCCTCATCTCTCTAGGGTGCTGAGGGAGGGGAGGTCTCTGTCTTCCGCAGTTTCTTCCCGCTGGAAGGGGCTGCTGACCCTACCTACTGGGGACTGTGTTCTCCAACTGCCCGGGGGCGCTGTGGCTCACTGGCTGGGTTGAAAAAGGAAAACCTGTCGCAAAATGAGAAAAGAGTTCATGACCACTGACCTTCACTATTAGCCCAAGTACAAGGAGTAGTTCAGACCTCCACACTCCCTGCAGTGGCACTGGAGTCTTGCTTTTTTTTTTTTCTGAAGAGAAATCTCAACTCTTCCAGAGGCTCACAGGAGTAGCTCTTTCCTTTTGGGTGATCTTGCTCTTCAAGCAGTTAGGTGAGATTGGCTTTATTCTAGAAAGATGTGTCTATCTCTGCCAGGCTGAGATCATGCGGTCCTTTTCTTTTCCTGTGGCTTATTTCACATAGTGTAATGTCCTCCACATTCCTTCATGCTATGATGAATGGCAGGATCTCTTTTGTATTACAGCTGAATCATATCCCTTTGTGTATATTTATCACTTTCTCTTTATCCACTCATCTGTTGACAGATACCTAGATTGTTTCCACTTCTTGGTTATGAATAACAAGCATTTCTTCTAAATCTTTTGCAAAGGTCTTTGCAGAAGGGTTGCAGTGGAGCTGAGAGGTCGTAGCACTTCCAGGTCACTTGCGCATGTGCACGCTGTGACCAGGCCTTGCCGCTTGTCCTCAGATTGCTCTTCTGGGATCTTTCTGTTGGGTAGATGCTGTTAGCCACCTCCAAAGACCTTATGCTTTTAAGAAAAACCTGTGTAAAACTCTTTGTTTCAGGGGTAAGATGGAATATAAGGTTGAATGATAAATCAGAAGAAAGGCTAGATACTAGTTATCAAATCTGAAGAAAATTCTAGTGCAAATGCAATTTCCTAGCGTTTGTCATATGTCTGCTAATATAGAAAGTGACTTGTAGTCAACTTTGGCGTGTTTGGTGTGGGATTTTTTTTTTTTTCTTTTGGTGCGGGATTTTTAAGGTGGGCAAGATTGCTGTTTGCCCAGAATGTTGTATGGGTGAATACGAAGAGGTTAGGGCATTGGGTAATATAAAGGAGCAGTGATCCTTTCTGTTAAGCTTTAAGAAGCTGAATTTGACCTGGAAGAAGAGAAACATATGGCGGGGGTTGGCCAGATTCCTACTGCCTCACCTTTCCTGAGACTGCTTCCTTTCTCAAAATCCAGGGTCCGGGAGAAACAAGACAGAGAACTCTTCCTTAACTCCCTCCTTCTATATGTGCTGCTCCACTCATGTGGAACTCCTGGCTGTTTCTGCCTGGAAGCCCGACTGGCCATAGGTGTTGAGTTCTAGGGAGATCTTGCCATAAAGCTTCTCAGTGAGGTCCTCTATTCTTTGTAGAAACCTCTCCCCCTCCCCCTCCCTCTCTCCCTCTCCCTCCCCCTTTCCTTACTCTCCCCCTTCCCTCCCCTTTCTTCTCCCTCTTCCTCTCCCCTACCCCATGACAAGCTAAGAGCTTGATACTTGGCTCAGCTCTGGAGGGAGATTTTTAAAGAGTGAATTGTAGCCAGGCATGGTGGTGATTGGCTGTAATCCCAGCACTTGGGAGGCTGAGGCAGGAGGATCATTGGAAGTTCAAGGCCAGGCTGGGCTAAAAGTGAGCTCAAGGCCTGTCTGGGATACATAACAGGACCCTATCAAAATAATAATAATAAGAAGAAGAACAACAACAACGAGCAAAGTGTTCTAAAAGCCGGAGCTTAACCCATGAATTGTTCTTTGGGTTCCTGCCTGGTGACTGATCACGCTCACTCTCGCGTGCTCCAGCCGTAGCGGTGCTCTCTGCTGCGAAGTGGTGCAGTCAAGAGGGCCTTCCCGTAGCTGTCGGAACTTACAGCCCCTGTGCCACATCAGCCTCTTATAAGTACCCAGCCTCAGATACAAGGTTGCTTCCTTGTTTTTTTTCTGAAACATTTTATTTACTTTTTAAATTTAGTTTTTCCTAGCATTTTTATTGGTGCATTTTAGATACAATGATCACAGTCATCCGAGGGAATTTGTATCTGCACATGATACATCTTCATTCCTCTTTTTTCACATTCCCCTCCCCTCCCTTTAACCCCGCTTCCTCTCCTTTTTTTTTTTTTTTTTCCTGTCTTTTTGAGACAGGGTCTCCCTATGCAGTTCAGGCTGACCTTGAGCTCCCTTTGTAGCCCAGGCTGGCCTCGAACTTGCAATGATCCTCCTGCCTCGGCCTCCCGAGTGCTGGGACTACAGGCATGTGCCACCACGCCCAGCCCGCCTGTACCTCCTCTTATTTATAAAAGCGTTGTTTCCATTTTTCCTTCTATTTTCTTTTCCCTTCCTTCCTCCCTCCCCCCTTCCCTGTCCCCTTCCCATTTGAATGTTTTCCTCCCATTTTCTGTTATAGATTATACATTTTGGTCCTTATTTATGCCTTTGGTTTCTCACATGAGAGAAACAATGTTCTATTTAAACATGTGAGTCTGATTTATTTCACTTAAGAGTATGGTCTCCAGGTGCATCCATTTAGTTAGAAATATCTTGAGCTAGGCATGGTGGTGCAGGCCTGTAATCCCAGCACTCAGAAGAATGAGGACGATCACTGTGAGTTTGATGCCAACCTGGGCTACATAGTGAGTTAAAGGCCAGCCTGAACTACATAGAGAGACCCTGCCTCAAATGCCTCAAGCTTTTCCTTCTTTATGGCAGAGTAGTACTCCATTGTATTAAAAAACCACATCTTCTTTATCCATTCATCAGTTGATGGGCATTTGGGCAGTTTCCAAGATTTAGCTGTTACAAA